TCCCCTGGCCTCCTGAGACCCCCCAGCCCACAGGAGGCTCCCCTGGCCTCCTGAGATCCCCACCCAGACCACACGAGGCATCCAGTAGTCTCCAGACCTGCCCGTGTTACCACAGGTATTTTTTGGTACAAAAAACAAGGTTCCCTGAGATGACAGAAAATAGATTGCTTTGCTCATGATAACTATAAGCAAAAAATATTCATTACAAAAATGTATCGTTCTTTAAACTGACAATGCCACCGAAACCTGGCAAGGAGCACTGTGAGCTGTGTCTGCACAGGCACGTGGCCTTGGACCTGGGGGAGGGCCGGACGGCCGGGCCTACCTGGAGGTCTGGCCGGTCCCTGGGGTCTTCCGCCTGCATCTGGCCCAGCAGCGTCTCCAGGTCTGGGCTCAGCCTGAGTTCCAGCTGCGGTTCGGACACGAACTCCAAGGCGGCCCTCAGCGTTGCCCCCAGGGAGTAGATGTGAGCCTGTGGCACCGGAGTGCGAGCTCAGTTCACAGGCAGCCTTCCGCCCTGGGCCAGGCTGTGGCCCCAGAGGGCCACCACGAGGGTGACTGGCCCTCTCCCCCTGCAGCCTGCCACCCTCCCGTGCTGGGTCTGTCCCTGTCCCCTGCAGCCTGCCACCCCTCCCGTGCTGGGTCTGTCCCCTGCAGCCTGCCACCCCTCCCGGGCTGGGTCTGTCCCTGTCCCCCTGCAGCCTGCCACCCTCCCGTTCTGGGTCTGTCCCTGTCCCCCCTGCAGCCTGCCACCCCTCCCGTGCTGGGTCTGTCCCCTGCAGCCTGCCACCCCTCCCGGGCTGGGTCTGTCCCTGTCCCCTGCAGCCTGCCACCCCTCCCGGGCTGGGTCTGTCCCTGTCCCCTGCAGCCTGCCACCTCTCCTGTGCTGGGTTTGTCCCTGTCCCCCCTGCAGCCTGCCACCCCTCCTGTGCTGGGTCTGTCTCGTTCAGTCCTGGTCCTCAGAGGCACAGACCTGCCCCACCCATGCTGCTCTCCTGTCACAGACATTTGAGCAGGAGGAACGGTTTTGGAGTTTGTCTGTTTGAGAGAGGAGGCCTCTAAGGACACCGCAGAGTGGGCCCTGCACAAGATGTAGCTGGAAGGCCTCCGCTTACATCCTGGCCTGGCTGGAGGGGCAGGTGCACCCTGTGGGCCACTTCACAAAATCCAAATGCCTGGGAGGGTCTTGTGACTGTCATGTGAACTTGGAAAGGAGTAGCTTTCTCAGGTGTGTGTGACACGTGTATGCGTTCAAGGGGCACGGCCAGCGGATGCTCTCTCGCTCCCGCATGGACTTATTTGCTTCTGGCTTGCTCTCTGTGTGTGAAATCCTTCCTGCTGTATTCACTCCTGAGTTCCTGGGGTCCTTGTTGCTATTATAAACAGGAGATTTAGCTTTGATCTCTAGCTTGTAATTATGATACACAGTCATTGACTTCTTTCTGGGCAGTACCTTTCAGCTGGCCTCGCAGCCTTTCATTCTCTTAGATTCCAGTCCCTTGCACCCATCACATACACACTCTCTGCTCCGAGTCCAAGTCTGCTGTGCTGCCCACCCCGAGTCCACCGTTCCCCCCAAGGTCACGGCTTCAACAGGCCATGCCTGAGCTGCCGCCCAGAACAAAGGCAGCTGTGGAAGAAGGCCCAGCCTGTCCAGAGGCTGCCAGGCTGTGGTGGGAGAGGCCACCCAAAGGCACAGGGCAGGGGGAGGGCTTGGCGAGCTGTCTACCTGGCAGCACCTACCTCAAAGGTGTTTCCGGTGAGGTCGAACTCTGGGGGGACAAAGGCTCCCTCAGGGTCATCTCGGGGGAAGAAAAGAGAATGTGCTCAGGTCTCAACCACAAAGCAAAGCATCCGCTGAGCCTTGACCCTGACAACCTCAGAGCTCTGTGTTTCGGGGCCTCCTTGAACCTGGGGAGTGCCGCGGGTCCCTGGGGCCTCTGCCTCCTACTCAAGACCAGTCCAATTGCCTCCAAGGCAATCGCAGCTCACAGAGAAATCGGACCCTTAACAGTAAATGTGGGAGGAGGGAAAGGGTTTTGTCCACATCCCTGAAAAGGAACAGGGAAGCTGCAGTTTGGGAAATCAGGCTCTCCCTGGAAAGGGCCATGCAAGGGAGTGGCCGACCATTCTCCAGACCCCCTTGCAGCCCCTGTGCCTGGCCCCTGCAGCCCAGAGGAGCACCCTGGTGAGGGCCTCGGGGACGCCCGAGCTCAGTGGAGCCTCAGGCGAAGAACCACATCGGGCTCCAGAGGAAACCCCGGCCCTGACCCGTGTCCTGGCTGCTGCCTGGTGCCCACCATGGCCCTCCCCCCTGCGCTGTCTCCCCTCTGCACTGGCCTCTGATTGGGCACCATCGCCTCCTCTCCCCCCCCCCATTGGGTGCCTTCCTCCCCTCTCCCCCCCCCCCCCGGTGCTCACCACTGAGCTGCTCCATGAAGCACACATTCCCGCTAGTGTTGAAGGCCAGGGTGTCGGGAGTGATGCACAGGGTCTGGAATAGGGCAGCGTGGACCACGCTCCGCATGGACAGGCTGCACTCCAGGCACACGGCCCAGGCCTCCTGCTCGCTGAGGCCTCGGTCCCTCAGGGACAGGACGTCAGCCAGGGACACATTCTCCTGCCAACACATGTCTGTGTGTGAGCCCAGAGCGACGGCCCAGCTGGGGCCGAGTGCCCAGGCTGAGATGGGTCCCTGGAAGAGTACACTCCAGGCAGCGTCTCATTCTGTGGGCAGGTGAGGGGTGTGGGTTAGGTCTTTTTGAGGCCAAGACTGACAGCCTGGCTGTCAGAACCACGGAGCATATGGGAAGTCCACCAGTACCATGCCAGTCCCCACGGCTCCATGGGGCTCCTCCTTCCAGGCCTGGGAGGCTGGATGGGGACCTGCACTTGTGCCCAGCTGGCACCTGCTCATGGACGTGGCCAGGCTCACGGCTCCACTCCCCCGTGGAGGCTGTGAACGCACAAGCTGGGTGCCAGGCCTGTGGAGGCGGGGTGAAGCCCGCCGAGAGCGCGTCTGTGCACAGGAGGCCCTCAGCTGGGCCGAGGTGACATCCACAGGCAGCACCCAGGCTCACCTCACAGATCGAAGTGGGCTCCGGGGCCTCGAAGAGCTCAGCCGCGAAAACGAACACACACGTGTGCACTCCGGGGCCTCGAAGAGCTCAGCCACGAAAACGAACACACACGTGTGCACTCCGGGGCCTCGAAGAGCTCAGCCGCGAAGACGAACACACACGTGTGCACTCCGGGGCCTCGAAGAGCTCAGCCGCGAAAACGAACACACACGTGTGCACTCCGGGGCCTCGAAGAGCTCAGCCGCGAAAACGAACACACACGTGTGCACACTACCATCTGCACACATGTCCTGCAGCACAGTGCTCCTGCCGCAGGCTACCCACACCTGTGGGCATTTCTTTTATGTGTGCACACGCTGAACACGCACCAACACAAGCACGTTCACCCTCTCGTGCTCACCTTCTAAACACCAACACACAGGCATGCTGCTATGGTCTGACTGCAAGATGCTCCCTGCAGCCTCCTTTCACGGAATCTGGACTGGTAGCACTGATTACAGCACTGGCTGGATGGGCAAGTCACAGGGGCGTGGCCTGGCTGGAGGAGGCGGGCCGCTGGGGGCGTGGCCTGGCTGGGGATGGGCAAGTCACAGGGGCGTGGCCTGGCTGGAGGAGGTGGGCCGCTGGGGGCATGGCCTGGCTGGAGGAGGCGGGCCGCTGGGGGTGTGGCCTGGCTGGAGGAGGCGGGCCCCTGGGGGCGTGGCCTGGCTGGAGGAGGTGGGCCCCTGGGGGCGTGGCGTGGCTGGAGGAGGCGGGCCGCTGGGGGTGTGGCCTGGCTGGAGGAGGTGGGCCGCTGGGGGTGTGGGTACCTAGTCCCAGTTGCTCTTTCTGCTCTCTGGCTCCCTAGGTGAGCAGCTCCTCTCCGTCGCCCTAGGAAGTTCTTCTATACCAAAAGCCCAGGAGCAATCAGGACTGAAACCTCTGAAACTGGACCACAATGAACCTCCCCACCCCGAACAGGACTGGACTCAAGGGCTCTACCACAATGAACCTTCCCACCCTGAACGGGGCTGGACTCAAGGGCTCTACCACAATGAACCTTCCCACCCTGAACGGGGCTGGACTCAAGGGCTCTACCACAATGAACCTCCCCATCCTGAACGGGACTGGACTCAAGGGCTCTACCACAATGAACCTTCCCACCCTGAACGGGGCTGGACTCAAGGGCTCTACCACAATGAACCTCCCCATCCTGAACGGGACTGGACTCAAAGGCTCTACCACAATGAACCTTCCCACCCTGAACGGGGCTGGACTCAAGGGCTCTACCACAATGAACCTCCCCATCCTGAACGGGACTGGACTCAAGGGCTCTACCACAATGAACCTTCCCACCCTGAACGGGGCTGGACTCAAGGGCTCTACCACAATGAACCTTTCCCATCCTGAACGGGACTGGACTCAAGGGCTCTACCACAATGAACCTTCCCACCCTGAACGGGGCTGGACTCAAGGGCTCTACCACAATGAACCTTTCCCATCCTGAACGGGGCTGGACTCAAGGGCTCTACCACAATGAACCTTTCCCATCCTGAACGGGGCTGGACTCAAGGGCTCTACCACTTGAGTCAGGCCCTGTGACCCTTTGCCTTTAGTTGGCTTCTCAGATAGGGTCTTACACTCACTTTGTTGGTCTGGCTTTGAACCATGGTCCTCCCTCCTCTGCCTCTTGAGGATCTGGAGGGACAGACATGTACCACCAGGCCCTGCCTTCCTTCTTCCTTTACAAACTATCGCTCTCAGGTATTTGTCACAGCAATGAAAGGTCTAATATGTATGCACACACTCCCAAAGTGCTGACACATTTTTATATACACACATACAGACCCAGGCAGTGAAAGAAAACATTCTCATACATAAGTAGACACATTGCTAACACATTTTTACACATGCATGCTTGTGTAAACCAAGGCTCAAGCCTACATCCTTATTAACAACCCTGAGCTATCTACTCACACCCTAACAACACTGTCCTACCCATTCATGGCCTAACAGCCTTGTTCAAGCATTCACACCCTGACTAACAACCCTGTCCACACAGTCACACCCTGATGACCTTGTTCACACATTCACACCCTGACGACCTTGTTCACACATTCACACCCTGACAGCCTTGTTCACACATTCACACCCTGACTAACAACCTTGTTCATACATCCACACCCTTACTAGTAACCCTTTCCTTCATTCACACCCTAACAGCCCTGTCCACGCATTCACACCCTAACAGCCTTGTTCATGCATTCACACCCTGACAACCCTGTCCACACATTGACACACTGACAACCCTGTTCACATGTTGACACCCTAACAGCCTTGTTCACGAATTCACACTCTAACAACCCTGTCCACACATTGACACTCTGACTAACAGCCTTGTTCTCACATTCACACCCTGACTAACAGCTTTGTCCACACAGTCACACCCTGACTCCTAACAACCTGTCCACACATTTACATCCTAACAACCTTATTCATGCATTCACACCCTAACAACCCTGTCCACACATTCACACCCTGACAGCCTTGTTCACACATTCACACCCTGACTAACAGCCTTGTTCACACATTCACACCCTGACAGCCCTGACTGATCCATTTACACTCTGACTAATAACCCTGTCCATACATTCACACCCTGACTAACAGCCTTGTTCACACATTCACACCCTAACAACCGTTTCCACGAATTGACACCCTAACAACCCTGTCCTGTGCATTCACATAGGTCAGTACCACCAATGTTCCTAATGTTTCCATTTCATGTCCTCACTCACAAGCACACACATTCACACACAGACACACGTGCTTACCCGTAGTCACACACATACATAAACAATGCATGTCCATGCATCCCCCATATTCCTCCATATACACTCAGACATAACTACAAACATACATGCTCACACATCACACACATATACACATACATATGCACGTGTATGTCCACATATTCCCCATATTCTTCCATACACATGCTCTCACACATTCACACGTCTCTGCATACTCAGACCTGTACAGCCTATACACATGATTGTACATAAGCACACGCACCTCTCCACATACATACACCACACACTTGTATACTCCCACGTGTTCACACACATGTCCATAATTCTTCCACACACATACTAGCACAAGACACACATAATGTGCCTATACACACATGTATCCCTCTGTACACATGCTCACACACATACATTTACACACAAATGTTTCTACACATGCACACGTTTTCCTATACACACAAATAGGCACATACATTTGCATCTCTGCTTCCACAGAATGATAGTACAGCACACACACACCAGCATGCCTCCATTCACACACACACGACACACATGCAGAGGAATGCACTTGCACACAAATTCAGTTTAGCACACATGTACACACCACGCATGAGGTACACATGGCGCTCACTAAACAAGGCCATAAACACCCCCAAAGATGCCGTGGGCTGGCTCAGCGCAGGGGAGGGGCGCCCACGGCTGAGTCTGAGCCAGTCCTGCCAGCCTTGGCCAGCAGGCTGCCTGCTTGCAGCTGGTGACGGGGTGTACTGCCAAGACAAGGCAGCGTGGCTTCACAAGCTGCAGGGTCAGTGGTCCTGCAACCTCGTACGGCTTCCGGCGGGGGCCCAGGTGTCCTGAGAACTGGGGCCCTGGCCAGCCCTGGGGCAGCTGGACTCTACAGCCCCCGTGTCTGTTTGCAGTGGGAATGTCTGAACCCCAGGGCCCGAGTCATTGCTCCCAGAGGTGGCCAACACCTCTGGTAACAGGCCCTCCCGCACCTGTGTCTCCAGGGTGGATCCTGCTCATACCGGGCTCCGGGAGCCTGCAGGCTCCTCCCTGGCTGCTGTCTCTGAGGCCTGCAGCTGCTGCTGCCCCCTCTTCTCTGCCCTGCTCTGTCCGAATCCAGGCGGCTGGACTAGGGGAGGCTGGAGAGTGGGAGGAGCCTTGGGTCAGGGGCCAGGGACAAGGATGAGAGACCGGGAGGGACGCAGGCAGCACTCACCAGCCGCTCAGCCTCAGTCCATGGCCCCCCCAAATTCCAGTGGACAACTCTGAGGACAGGAGCCAATACCCTAGGGGGGTTCGGCTCCAAGTGAAGTACACCGGGCCTGGCGAGCGCTGTGGTTAAAGCCACGCTGAGGCTTAAGCAGCCCAGGCAGACCTTGCAGAGGAGTCAGCGGGGCTCAGCTCCTACGCATGGGGCCCACGTGTGTGCCACGGGAGGGACCCAGGTCCAGGCATCTTGACCCCCCATGCTCAGCCCAGCTGGTTTCTGACAGCATGGATGGACCTCCGGCCAGCATCTGCAGCCCCATCTGTGGGTTTAGGGGTAGGTTTGGCCGGCGAGAGGGTTCTTCACCGGTCCCAGCCCAGGGCTGTGGCATGCCCAGGGCTCCCAGCCCCCGCCCTCCTCGAAGCCCTCTGACGGCCTCCTGCTCTGAATCTGACTGGGCACAGGCCGCAAGACTCCGCGGCCCCTTTCACGCCCCACCTGTGGGCCCTGTCTACCTTCAGTCTCCAAACTCGGCCCAAACCTCTCCCCGGGGGCTCCACAGGCACTTTCTGGGCTTGGAGAAGGTAAAAATGTCTCACACCCCTGGTGGAGGCTGGGATAACACCTTGTTGATACCCAGTGGTGCCATCTTTATCTCCAGTTGCCTGGGACTGTGTCCTTGAAGGCCAGGGTACCAGGCTATTTGCCTGCTGGACTCCTACCATAGCTGCCTGGTGTGGTCCTGCCCTGACTAGCCCATGGTCAGGCCTCTGACCCCACATCTGACCATAGCAGCTAAAACCCCATACAAATCCGGGAGGGGCACTTCCTCTAGGAAGCCTACCCCGCTTGATGCGGGCCGGTGTCTCCACTGTGTCCCCAGGGTCCTTTGCCTGCAGGTGTCTGGCGTCCCAACACTGGCACAGACTCCAGGCCCAGCCAGGCCAGCCCGGTCCACGCCCCTGCCAGTCATGGTGGCTTCCAGCCAAGCCCACTCATGTACCACATGCCTCCAGGCCACCCAGAGTGGAACTGCCGGGATGTGGGAGCCGGTCTCAGCTTTCTAACGAATGCCAACTTGCGTTCCAACAGGCTGTTCCCACTCCCACGGTAGCCAGCACGCCCGCCCCGGCCTCCGAGCTCCCGTCGGGCGGTCAGGGCAGCCACTGCCCTCAGGGCGTACCTCACATCCTTCAGGTCAAAGAACCTCACGTGCCCACCAGCCATTTTGGGCTTTCTCTTGGGCAGGGTGAGGTAGCGGCATTCGTGGGACTTTGGGGTTGGGGCCAGTCTGAAGGTTGTTCTCTCTCTGTCTCTCCCTCTCTCCTTTCCCCCTCCCCCCATCTCCCTTTTTCAAGTCAGGGTCTTGCTACGCACCCTAAGTTGGCCTGGACCTGCAATCCTCCTCCCTCTGCCTCCTGAGGGCTGGGATTGTGGACGTGTGCCACAACACGCAGCTTTAGGGGTCCATTTCTTGACCTCCCTGGAGTGACTTCCTATATCCCATGTGGCCTGTCTCCACGTTGCCAGCTGTGGACGGGGATCCTCCGGCATGGCCCAGTCACAGCCTCCCCCCTCCCCCCGGCTGGCACCGGCAGCAACCGTGGAGGCTGGCAGGACGGGGGTCCTCCGGCATGGCCACGTCACAGCTTCACCCCGCCCCCCCGCCCCTGCCGGCTGGCACTGGCAGCAACCGTGGAGGCTGGCAGGCAGTCCTGTGAGCCCCATGCACATCCACTTAAAATCCTCCAGGGAGCTGTGCGGTACAGGGTGCGCACGCGGGGTCTGGACCTCAGGTGTGTCTCAAACACGGGCGTGTTAACGCTTCACGCGGCAGCCTCGGCACCATGGCAGGACGGAGGCCCGGCCTCGCCGCCGGACTCGGACATTCCTGCAGCCGAGGTATCAGGGAGATGACGGCCAGAGGCGCTCCGGTGTGAGTCGGGTCACACCGTGGCCTGCTCTGTTCTGGTGGTGCCAGGGTGCCTGGGGCACACAGAGGAGGCCCCTGAAGTGCACACAAAAAGGTGCCGCGTGCAAAGGGGCTCCGATCTGCTGCCTTTGGCAACCGGGAGCTGAAGCTTCTCAGCCACCACAAAACGCGTCCTGTCCTCTGGGAGTTCCTGAGGCTGTGCTGTGACCATCCTTCCTTGAACATCAAAGCCGGGCGATCCAAAGGGTTATTTATTCCCGGTCTCTCCTCTCTGCACCTTCAACTGCACTAAATCCAGGCCAGCCGAGGGTGGAGGCAGTGCCACCCCCGCAGGCCTTGGCCCTGGGCCCGCAGCAGCGGTGGAAGCCTGGTCCCTTCAGAGCCCCCTGGGGGAGGCCCTCAGAGGGGCCGGGCTGGGCCTCTGGGCAGTGAGTCTGGGGGCTCTGGCCGAGCTGCAGCGCCCGCTGGCCCTGAGGGTGGCCGGGGGCTCAGGCACCAGGGCCCTGGACACCTGCTGCCTTGGGGTGCACAGAGGGAAGGCGGATCCCCTGGAGACGCAGGGCCCGACTCTGGGGAGGGGACCGTCCCCGGGGACAGCCGGGCTCCGCCAGGGCGCGGGC